ATAAATTGAACTAAATCCACCTTCAGTTAATTTTGTTATATCTTCAAATTGCTCAAAAGGTATCCATTCTAAAATATAGCCTGGAAAAGATGATTTTATTTGACATTGTTGAATAAAGTTATTGACTATGTCATTTCCAGATGTCCAATTATTAAAAAGATTCTGTAATTGTAAACCAATACAACCTTCACAGAATCTATCAGAGTATCTTCTCGATTTACACTTGTTGCACTCTTTTGGATTACCCAATTTATTTTTTGCACTTTCTAATTCAAACTCATAAATAAACCTTTCCCTGCAATATTCTTTTTCAATTTCAGAAAGCCTCTCATTTTTCTTGACTAATGAAAAAAAATAATCTTTTTGACTTTCTCTACCAGTCTTACCCAGAGCATTATCGTACATTTCATTACAAATTTTACGTACAAAATCCACTCTTTCTTGTGATAATGATGATAATAATTTATAATGTGACATTTTTTAACTTTACTAATAAAATTATTTCGGGAAAGGATAAAACCTGATTTTTCCTTTTTGAACAAATAAATAATACACAAATGAGATTGAACCGGAGTAAAAATTATGGGAGTTAGTACATGAGTTTTGTACTGAGTTACAAAAACCTTTAATGGGAATCACTTATTTGTCTATAATTGCGGCCATCAACCCGTGGGGACCAACTTGTTTATTAAGTAACATGAATTATCTACTATCATTACCCTGATAATGGAATGGGATTCCTGTTCGTAATAATGATCGCCTTGTGGCTTTGTACTTAATTAAATACAATTTCTTAAGTGTTATTTATAATTGTTTGTGAATATATTCTTAAGGGCCGATTTATATGTAAAAAAAAAAAGCACATATCACTATCTGCGTCCACAAAGAACAAAATATATATTATTTTACATATGACATTATATATTTTTTAATCATTTACATAACGAATTAGTCCCTTTACAATATATATTGCAATTCGCAGACGCCCCAACTTTAGCTTCTTCGTAAGAAACAAATTTTTATATACATAATGCAAGATATTCATTGGTAGTAATAGTATGATAAAAAAGCGTAACAACCAAACGTTTAAAATTCAAATTAACAAAGTATCAAAAATAAAAATTCAAATCTCTTTTGGCCCAGCACGTCTAATTCGAAGGTTCTCCAAAGCCAAAATGCCTTACCGTTCTCCGAAGTAACCGCCCTATAAAATGCCCCTACAATCTTTCAAAGTAATTTTCCCAAAGAAACCACCCTACAAAATACCTACCGCCATCCAAAGTAACTGCCCTTACCAAATGCCCTACCAAAATGCCCTACCGTTATCCTACAATAGCAAAATAAAAAAAATTCATTATTTTGAATACTAATAAAAATTTATAAAGTAATCATTTGTTTCTATATATCTTATGTATCTGCTACTATCTACTAAACCATGTCGCGTGAACGAGGTAAATGAATTTAAAAAAGTTGATAAGAAATAATAATAAAGAAAGAAAGAAGCAATTTTATATATTAATATTCATTTTCCTAGCCGGCAGATGCTATAAGCTTTGCAATCCATTGCTAAATTTACATAATGACTTTGTTAACGCATTTTTTTGAAAATAAACACATTTGATAGTGATTATTATTGATCTAACTCCTGTTGTTGTTGATTGGTATACTATTATCATGATAACTAGACAATAGAAATTGGTATTTCTAATTGTGATTATTTTCATTGTTGTTGAAGTATCCAAGAAGTCCGAAAGTAACTTTGGTTGTTGTGATGGTTGGTATTCTTGTACTTTTTGTATTTGTAACAAAAAATTTTTTTAAATTTAAAATTTGGAAAGTTTAAGTTTTAGCCAAACATTGGTCACATTTTATCATTTATTATTATTGAATACATATTTATACATGTTTATAAAACATTTGTATAAATTAATTGATATGCGGAAATAAAGGTAAGAGTGAGAGAGAGAGAGAAGAGTCGACTTACAATTAAAGATTGATACAAAAATTAAAAGATTAAATAATAGTTGAAAATTTAGATTCGTACAAAATCGCGACAGGGATTATTAATTTTAATTATACTGGTCAATCAATATATATAAAGTGTACTATACACGTTAGAGTTCACCAAACTTTCTTTTTTTTCTTTTTCAAACCATCAGTAACTTTTTGTGCAGCAAGTTTTAATTCTTGACGTCTTTGCATCTCCTGTCGATGTGTTTCATCAAATTCCTACGGAATCATTCATGAAAGAAATGAACGTACATTTATGTAACAGTAGTATAATTAGTTAGAATGAAAAAGGATACCTTGTTATTAGTATAAAATTCATCATCATTTTGATCAGGCGATTGAGTAGATATAGTTTTATCTTTTTGTGGTGACAATGATTTTTTTGTTGAAGTATTACTATTGAATGCCGAGTTATTGGAATCTATCAGTTGCCATGAAGTTAAATCTTCTTGAGTTAACGGCAAACAATCGTCATAACATGAACTTTGAGTGTTTGGAGGTACAGGTAAAGGCTGAGATGCAAACTTAAGAGATGATGAAGAATCCATCAGATCAGATGATGATGATGTTGTCGTTGCTGTTGTTGATGATGATGATGTAATAATAGAGGTTTCGGTGGCTTCTTTAAACAATTCGCGTATTTTTTCATCAGAAAATAATTGTATTGGCACATCATCTTCATGATCCATCGGTTGAAATATTACCTACATAAAGGAATGAATGAAGGCGTAGAATGAGAATGTGGGCGGAAAAATATCAACCAATCAACCAATCAATTAATTAATTACCTTTTTTATTGTATCATTTATTATTTCACTATCAAATTTGTCAGTTTTATGTTCTACAAAATTACCATTCATAATATGAATATTAAATATACTTATCCATAAATCTCTATATAAGCATAGTGAACATACTTCGAGTAGGAATTAATGAATCTGATTTTTTTGTTATTTCCAAAAGTTCATCCACTTCCTTTTCTTTATTATTAATAACTTCTACTAATGACTTAAATTGTTGTCTAAATCCTAGCGTAACAATCATCATTGGTAATATAAAATGGTTATATATTACAGCCGGACCATCATTCACTTGGCCTTCATTAATGCCAATTAATTGTTCTGGTATGATTTCACACAAGAAAACCCATCTTAAAGTTATCAATCCCAATGTCATTGACGTTTTTAATTTTAACTTGATTTTTTTTTTTTTTTGATTTTTTAAATTATGTGAAAAATTAATTTTAAATTAAAGGGGTGCGGGGTTGAGTAAAAATGAATGAATGAATGAATGAATGAATGGAAAGAAACCTTATTACTAAATTTTTCTATATCATAATCATAAATAGATCTTTGATTTTCTAAAACTTCTCGAAGTAAAAGAATTAGATTTTTTAAAGAAAGTTCGTCACTTGTATCTAAACCAGAAGCTACTTCCTAAATTCAATAAATTTTAAATTTGATTATACAAATTCCGTAATGTTAGCAATAATATTAATATTAATATTATTAAATATTTTAATACTCGGGCACGTGAATTTAAGCCTTTAGAGTTTAACTCTTCAAACCAAACATGCTTTAGATCAGTGATAAGTAGAAGATACTGATAGTCTTCAAATACAGCTTTAGCAACATATGTTTTTGTTTCACCGTTATTTCCAAAGTTACTTTTAATGTTCAGAATAAGACAATCAGCAGAACGAAGTTTAGCATTATGTTTATTTGTAAAGATCATGGTGTTTCTCTAAATTTTATTATAAATTTTTTTTTTTAAGAATTTGAAAATTTTGAAAAAAAAAAGAAAAAGAAAAATTAAAGTTTAGGAGAATTATGAATTTTTTTATTTATTTATTTTTTTAATCACGTGTAATTAGTTTTTCATGTTGAAAGTGTAACATCGCAATATTGCATAATAATAATGATAACTGACTGACTGATAATTTACTAATACATATTAATATTAATATTAATATAACAATAATATTCCATATTCGATAAACAATGGAAGATAAATATATTAATATTAATAGAAATGCCATTGTGGTAAAATTATCGTTCCCTAATATTAGAACGATCAACAAAAGAACCATTTAATATTAATTAATTTTCGACGATTAATATTAAAATTAAAAGCTTTTGCCCTTTTTTAAATTAAATGCCTCTTTTGTATGATAATCACAGATAAGATGGATTCTGAATCTTGTTTCAGTCAACTAACTACTTGCCAATACTTATTTAAATTAATATAATAATAAATAAACATTCATATATTTTGCATGAAATAATAGGATTCCATTTATTCGGATTATTTGTAATTAATTTTAAGCATTCAAATTACATTGGATGAATAAAGTGAATAAACTAAAACGAACAATAATATAGTGCAAGTAAATTAGATGCTGATTTTTAAAGATGGCTCCTCAATTAATTACCGCATATAAAAATTGAACTGCGGCATATGAAAATTGAATTGCGGTTAATTGCGGTTCCCATATTTAATGCCGAACTTTCGGATTCTCAAATTTCTCCAGAAATAGAAATACGTCGATGAAAGATCTAGTCTTCTCTGCAAGGTTACAATTTGATATCTTGGGCGTTGGTCAGTGGGAGTAAAATACCTTTTCAAATTACCATTAGTCATTAATTTTGTCAGTTTCATGAGAGTTTGTTCTATTCAATGAATTAACAGACGTCGTTTCCATATCTTCACTAGCACATCCGTCAGAAATTGATTCAACAATTAACAAATCCATGTTGTAAAGTAGAATTTTAGTATTATTATTTATTTGTAAATTTGTTTGGGCGAGCGAATAAGAAACGAAGCAAGTAGAAAAAAGAAAGATTGAATTAATAATTAAAACATGTTACGGTAAAATAATACTTGATATTATTTTTTATCACTTTTTATATATGTGTTAACTCAACTGGGTGTGAAAGGCTATTTCATCCATGGAATTTTTCCACGTGAAAAGAAGAAA